GGGTGAACTGTTGCCTCAGTTAACTGGGTTGCCCTCCCATGAAACCTAAAGGGGGCTGACCCAGTCCTTGCATACTCCCCTGCAGCAGGACCAGGTGGGACAACGGGAGCCAGTCACAAGCTCCAGACCCCTCTCCACCAGCTGCTCAGGAGCTACCAGAGCAACTTCAGTGCCAGTGCAGGTCACTCCCAACACTTACGGGACTCTGTTATGACTGTGGTAACTGAGGACAGTTAACCAGCCAGGTGGGGGCTGTGCAGCATTGAGGTTGAGAGACACTTGGCGGGATCCCCCAGAATGCCCAAGGGCAGAAGCACCTAGCAGGACCCCCCATAATGCCCCCATGGCTAACTTTATTCTGCATGTAAGATTCATCATTAACATAAACAAATTGGAATCTTTCTGGTAGATAAGATTTGAACTAACTTAGTACAGTTCCTTTAATCCCAATAACATGTTCAAGTCTCTGTAATAAGATGTGTGATCAGTGGTGTCAAAATGCAGAACTGAGATCTAAGAGCACAAGTATAGAAACAAGTTCTTTGTCTGAGGCCACACCACCACCTCGGTCTGTGTTTCAAGGAATGTGACAGTTACTGTGACTAAGGAGGGGTGGGTTCATTTAGACTGACATGTTTTTTCTGTTGTAACCAGGTTTCAGTAAGACACAATGAATGTATGTGTTGTTCACTTATCAAATCATTCACTAACAGAGATTTAGACAAGAGAGATCTGATATTTAACAGTCCACATTTGATTGTCGTGTTATTTTGTTCTATAAGAGGAGTAGTCTTAATTTTAATTAGGTTCTTATGAATAACTCCTCTTGAGTTGATTTTTGATTTATATAATTTAGGTGGTCGGGGGGCAGACAGTCTTTTTGGGGTACTGGGAGTTTTGGGTGAGTTACAGAAAGGCATTTAAGACTGCAACCCTGCATCCTGTACTCAATGCTGGGTTACAGTTTGAGAAAAGCCAATTGAGTCTAATAATGGACAGAATGCATTGTTGAGGCTGTCGTTGTCAGCATCTACATGAATATTAAAGTCACACACTATGATTATTTTATATGTACTAAGCACTAAATCAGACAGAAAGTCTGAGAATTAAAAACTCAGCATAAGGAGCAGGTGGACG